GCCACAAACAAAATAATCAAGCCGTAAGCAATTGTAATAACTTTGGAAACTGTGAAACCACGAGTACCATTGAAGTTCCTTTTTTCTTCTGATATTACTACTAATATTCTGTTTTGATTATCACAAAAATGGCTTACATTTGACGATTTCCTCTAAAATACTACACGCACGATCTTCTCTACTAGCAGCGAAGACAGCATGGAACTCGTAGGGTCAGTAACAAACTAATGAGATTTCCACTTTACTAATAAAATGACCAGTATCAGTAATAACTGTATGGGTTGTTTCTTGTTTGAGACTAGAATACTTGACATGCAACAGGCAAGAATAACTCATTTTCTTCGGGATTGTAGTTTCAATTTACTTTTCCAGTGACGAAATCAAGAGCATAATTACACAATAGCAATATTTCCACTCTACACCGAATTTAGTGCCACAGCAGCAGGTAAGTAGTTATAGTGCCAACCAGCCACCCTTTAACTTGTAATAAAACCCTTGCTTTAGACCTTCCAATTGATGAAATCAGTCCAAGTAAACACCTCAGCCTAAACCACTATAATTCCCATACAACAGGTTTAGGTGATGTGGAACGTAGCTGTTGTCGAGTAATAGTAACACATGGATTTAACACTTTTTCTTTCCTCAATAGTCCATTTGTTTATTTTATTCCGTTGATGACAAATGGCTAAATGCAGGGGAAATATAGACTTTAGTATAGTTCATTACATCATTCCAGTTTTGCTGATACCATTTTTTTTCTTCTAGAATGCACACAGCAGTACCAATGCAAGGATCAACTACAAAACTATAATCGACCAAATAGTAGAGCACCATGGAAGGTAAAGTCTTCAGCCAAAACCTTTTCTGTGCATTTCAGTTAGCCTCTCAACCGAGTAGCTACATGTAGGATCTCTCTGCAAAGCTTCCTCATAGCAAGAAGATATAGCTGATACTTGGTTTTGGTCAAAATACTCTAGCAGTCTGCCTCGCAATCTGCATTACGAAAACTAAACTTCAGCCACTTAGCTCACAACAGCTTGTCTAAGCACGGACAAGGAACAAAAAACAAAAACTCCCATAGTCAAAAGATGTTTTAGAAACATCAAATGAGAGATGAGATTTAAGATAACAAATTGCTTCAAATGATAACCAATGACATGATGGCTTAACAACCTGAAAGGAAGCGCTGTAGTAGAACTGCAGCAGGTCCTCTCAAGTTCACAAAGTGCATCTTTCAGTTTATCACCAAGCAGGAGAATCTACACCGTAGTAAAGGTAGCTAAAATGAGTCTACAGATGAAAAAAGAAAATCCATACAATAAATTGTATGGTTATATGCAGAACATGGAGTGCCGGTATGATTGACAAGTACCTGTATTAATGGTAATAAGGCTGCCATTACTGGTGGCGACGAATGAAGAGCCACTCTTAGATATCTTTCTGCATCTGCGTAGAAGGTATTAGGTGTTGACTTGTACTTCCAGTACGAATCAAAGCAATCACTTGAAGACCCAGCAGCATGCTTTAGACGTAGCGGCAACAAGGTTCGTTCCAATCCTTCAAGTACCATAATAAACATCTAACATGTTAATACATAAGTATGCGGAGCTATAAAACAAGCTTGATAAAGATAACAGAAGTAATGAACAAACGGTTGCTCAGATTAATGAGGCTAGTTGATCTGATGAGGGGC